TATGTTTACTGGTCTTTGTCTATCTAGCTCTTTTTGAAGTTAAAAAATTTGAGTCTCTTTTTCCTTTAGGGCCAAGTCTTTACTATGAAGCTCCTCTGCCTGTATTTGCATTCTGCCCTGCTGTATATTTAACCTGTGATGCAGATCCTCCTTTTCAAAATAACAGGCTTCTACGCAAGTGAGTTAGCTACATGTGGAGGTTTCTATGCAAAATATCTAATTAAATTCCATAATTGCTCTACCTAACGCACAGAAAATGTTAAGACTTGTTTTATAATACATTCTTGGTACCCACGACATGCAATAGCCAGTACAAATTATGATGTCATATTATGACGTCATCAACCTCTACTACACAAGTTTATAAGAAACATCAACAAAATCGCTTCGGCGCAAGGGCATACCTTACTTTGTTTTACAATAACAAGGTAGAAAAAGACGCGGGATATTCCAAGGATTTAAGATATTGCTGCACAAATGTCGGCATTGTAATTGTTTCGTTACTATTCGTGTAGTTTTAAATTTAAACAGGGTAAAAATTGACAGTCCAGTGTAAGTTTCCTAAATTTTTTATCGATGAAGAAAGTTCATAGGATTTGTGCAGCAATTTTATTAATGTTAACAATATTCTACTGAATATTATACATTGTTTATTTTAAATTAGATAGGATATGCCCTTGCGCCGACATGATTTTGTTGATGTGATTTATTACCTTGAATAAGAGAGAACAATGACGTCATGATATGACGTCACAATGTGCACTTGCTTTAATAAACTGTGGGTACTTAGTATGTATAAGAAAATCAATTTGAACTTTCTCTGTACATAAAATATACAACTTATGAATTTTTATTAGCTCATTTGCATAGAAATATTCATATTTAGCCTTAACTCACTTGCGTAATTTCTGGTTGGTATGTCTTAGTTCGCGACTAAGATTTTCATTACCTGCAGCTTTACTTGGTCGTCCGTTATTGTCGTCTAATTCAATGCGGCCTTCATTGATCCACTGCTGCCATACTTCTTCCTTGATTGTTGAGGCATAAGCCAGCAGTTGAATGGAAATAGGAAAATTCAGCATATCTCGTAATTGGATGATAGCTTGAGCTCTTTTTTCTCCAATGTTCTCTAAAGTTTGGAGCTCTTCCTCAGTGGCGGTTTGAATATTTACACGCATGTTCAATGTTTGTGATATTTATTGAAAAACAGCAGTACAAACTTTTAATGTTAGACAATAGATAGAAAGAAAGAAAGTAGAAAGATTTAGCAATTTAATTATGGCAAATAACCATACACAAATTGCTAGGGAGCAATTGGTAAGGTAAACAGTATTTGCTGTTTGATGAAATCAAAAATTAACACAGGTGTTAGTTATATGCAAAGCAATTTGAATGAACCTTTATTTTATTCCTTTCTAAAAAAAAAAAAAAAAAATTAGCAATTGTACTGCAATGCGCGTCCACCCTAAGGAATGGGGGGGGGGGGGGGTATTAAACTTTTTTGTGTGTGTATACTTTTTTTTATTACAATTTTTTTATTTATATGGAAAAAGGTCTTAAAATGGAACAGCTATTAACCCTGGTGTATTTGAATGACAAGTATGCGATTACCTACTTAAACAGGTCCAGGCAAATCACTATATATAGCTATATACCTATTTTTAGCTATATAGGTATTTAAACCTATCATAAATAGCTATATCGACATATTTCGGTTGGATGTACAACTTAAAAATAGATTTACTCTTGAATAAAAAAATAGTCGCAGCTTAATACTACTCAGCTGTTCATAGTTTGGAACATTACTCACATACGTCATAATTATGTTATATAAAAGAGCCGCGTTTGTTCGCAATTATCAAAAGAAAAGAGAAAGGAAGAATAAAGAAGACGACTTACTTGCCTTTGTAGAGGTAAAATGACTTATTTTCTTGTTTTCATAAAGAAATTACAATGTGAACTTCCTATACAATCCTGCTACTTCCATTTTTTCGTGCAGCGGAAATGATCACTGCGCAGTAGTTGCAGAGTAAAGGCGATAACGCTATATGTAATTAAATGTAAAGTTAGTAAAACCTGCATATGTGGAATTAAGAAATGAAATTAAGTATATATGAAATTGTTATTCATGAAAACAGGCGTAATTAAAGATATATTGACATATTATACCTCTTGTTTAAATTTTGAAAGGATAAAGGACATGGGAAAATGAACCCCCCCCCCCTTTACTACATTTTTAAAAATATGAATACTAAATGCAAACCGTTATATTTTTCGGTTTTAAATTTAATTATAATAGGACTGCAGTGTTCTAATTAAATAATAAAATTAATCCGCCTTACTGCTTCTGAAGATAGTAAGAGACCCATGGGCCTTTTTGCTCACCGTTTGCAGAATATGAAAGCCTATTTTTTTTTACAGGTATGCCTGTATGCAGCTGTAAATCGCACAGCGATAATAGCGCTGCTGTATACAAGATTTCCAGTAAAAAATATAAAAAATGTGTGATACAGGCACTTATAGAAAATAAAGTGTTATCAGATAAATCAACATATCTTTGTACAACATGTGCAAGTGAGTGCTTGAAAACTATAACTGACGAGCCAGTAGTTAAGGCAGTAGAAGAAGTTGTAAAACTTATTGAAGAGAAAAAATTATCCGCCAGGGACAAAAAAAGACTTTTGCGTGCTTTATTACAAGATGAGAAGATGTCCATTGAAGATGATTCTAAACATCTATCTTCCAAATACAAAGATACACAATATTTATCTTCATGAGACACAAAAAAATGGTTATTAGACAGAAACCATATGGTTATACAGTTTCTCTCTGTCATATCGGAAAGAAAAATCCAAGACTTGACTGAAAAACAGACAGCAGCCTTCATTTTTGCTGTAGAGCAAATATATTCACTTGTTACCTCAAACCTAATTTTACCTCTTACATTTAGTAAGAATTTACTATCTTACTACTTCTCAGGAAGTAGATCCATCTGCACTATGAATTCTATAGCAAGTCCTGGTGGTAGTTACCAGTCCATAGTGTCATGGATAGCCCAGCAGGGAGGGGATCCAATAACCATTAGTGGTGTTGAGGACGTTCTCACATTTTTTGATAACAATCAGATTCTGACAAGGAGATGGCGGGTTAATTATGACAATAAAACTATTTTATCTGCAATTACGACCATCGTTCATTTATTTCCACACAATCTTTCCTACTTGCAACAAAACCCCCATCTCTCACCAAGACAATGGCTGTATCCAAAGAACCTATCTTCACAAATTAGCGATTTTTCCAAGTATCTAGATAAGTTCGGAAATATATTCCGGGAATTACGATTGCAATTTGTGGAGTCAAGATTGGAGAAGGTGTACAAGAGCCACACTGATGGACTGACAGGACCAACAGACACCATCGAGGAAGGCGTCAGAGGCAGGAAGCGAAAGAGGGAGGAAGAATTACCAAATACTACTTCAAGAGTACAAGAGGACCCTTATAGCTTCGTAGAGCACAATCACCCAGGTAAGCAAAAAAATAATAATCGTTGAAATACTACTTTATGGCACAGATATTTTTACAAACATCTTATGAAGATTACCAAGATAACTTTATAAAATATATCCAGGAAAGCCAACAATTATCATGGGCAATCCTGTTGCCAAAAACCCATGCTCTTACGAAGCTGTTAAGGAAGTGCTTGCAGCGATAAAGGCAGAGACCACCGGAGAGACCAGGAAATGGACCATAGTTGGTTGTGATGGCCTGCCTTACCTAATTGGGAACAAAGTTATAGAACAAGAGCAAGATCTGCAAGACATCCTCCTCGTTCCAGGACTTGGTCATTTTGAAATAAACATGACGAAAGGTATTTTTAAAATCATACAATACAAAATTATTTTGAATATATAATATGATACATAAATAATATTTTAAAATATTGCAGCCATCATAAAATTAGTATGGGAGATATTTGGGGAAGATTTGGCCAAGATGCTGGGTTACCGCACAGCCAAAGCTTTGAACGCATGCCATGATGCCAGCGACCACCACAAAGCTTTCCAGTTCGTGGAAATACTTTATACAAAGCTTTCCAGTTCGTGGAAATACTTTATACAAAGCTTTCCAGTTCGTGGAAATACTCCTTTATATCCTTCCTTTATGGCACAGGTATTTGTACAAACATGTTATAAATTACCAAGATAAATTTATAGAATAAATTATAATATACTTTTATAAAATGCATATGCTTTCATGTAAGCATCAAATTTTTTGTTGTAATTTAGGAGATGAATTACTTATTCCCTATGTTAGGGATTGCATTTCATCGGGCGATTCCCCATCAGCATTAGGATACTTCCGATGGTGCTCCTCAGTCAAAGACTGTAATTACAGGTAATATTAATGTTTTTGCTTTATGCCATTACATTTTTTTTTTATGAAAAAACTTATTTAGATATCAAAATTAATCTTATTTGCAGATTTGTCCAAGAAATTGTTTTCACGTACATTCTTGCCCTGTACATGTTTCGAGTGGGTGTACGTAGAAACAAAAGTCAAGTTATGATGGCGGGAAGAATAAAGTTTGCTCCTTTATTTTTTGGCCTTAATAAGTTCAACTACCAACAGATAGAAGTCCTTGACTCCATCATGAGATTAAGCGCCCCATCTGAAGTTCTCCATTTCATAAATGAGAACGAATCTATAACTCGTACCTTAACTTCGCAACATAAAACACAGATTATAAATAAAGAAATGAAAGATGAAGGTATTTTAAACAAAAAATCATTGTAGAATCAGGGCATCACAGTAAGGGAGAAGGTGGGGACTTCATTTTGGAGTCCAAAAACAAAGAGACAAAAAGATGGTTACCACCTGGTGCACCAAAATTTATACATTGGAACCAGGCATGCAGGAATCTTGATAAACTAGAGAAGGTGAATTATTTACAATTGATAATTTATTTCATACTAATATATTAAATTTCACATATGTGATGGTCATTTGAACACAACTTTCTTAAGTTCTGCCTTATTTTTGAATGTAAATCCTAAACACCTGTCGTGCACCCAGTACTGGCACTTTTTTGACTTGTGGTCGCAACCGACCCAGTAGCCCTTCTCCTCTTCCGACAAGCAAACGTTGCACTGTTTTTCTAGACCAGCGTTAAAGGAAGCAGTCTGCGTGCTCTTGTTCTTTTTGGTGGATGATGAAGTTTCAGTTGTAGTTGATGATCTTCTTCTTTTGTTAGTCGGAGGAGGTGATGAAAAGGAAGTAGAAGGTTGTGGGGAGGGGTAAGTGACATGCTGAATTTCAGAGTCTGTATCAGAGGAATTGACAGAGGGGGGTGCAGGTGAAGAGTGAGAAGGTGTGGGTTGAGAAATAGTCCTTTGAGAAGAAGTAGTGGAAGAGGTAGCAGTAGAAGAGGAAGTAGAAGAAGAAGATGATGAAGTTGTTAGATTTGACAGCTGTAAAATAATTAAGAAAATAATAAAAACTAATATATGCATGATTTATGAAATACACATATATGTTTATATTGCTAATATTTAATATTTTTTCCCACATTACATTAACAATTTATGCATGTTTTTTTTTTATTATACCTCTTCAAAATGTGGGGTGCACCAATGAATGGTTTTTCCACTTGTGGGTTTAACAACCACAAGGACGTCTGCCTTTGTGGTTGTATGAAGTTCCTTTGCCTATAAGATAAGTAAAATTAAATATATACTGAAGAAATAAATAAATTTAGCAATTTTTTATTTATTATTTTATTCTACTATTCACATAAATTTAGCTAATTTTTAAAATTATTTTATTGAAAGATTCGTGAAAACATATACACCGTCTTCGGTGTGCATGAAGAGAAAACGGATACAATCTATCACACCAATCTGGAATTGGAAATCAAAAGCTGGAGGATAGAGCTCAGGGACTCAGAATATTTGACCACACCATTTCAGCAGAGACATCCCTGTAGCATTTCAGGAAAAAAATTAGATGACGACATCGTTAATTTCTCCTCCAAGTGTAAATCAAATTTAATCGATTTCGTAAAATGCTGTGCAGAGAGTAATACCGTATGCCAACAGAAATGTCTGGCTCCTATATTTATAACACCTGAGGACAGACAGTCTTACAACTGTATCATGAGTAAGACGAAGCAGGAAATAAGTAAAATTATAGATACTGAGTTGCACAGACTGAAAGAAATTGATTGTGACATAGGTAATTGAATTTTTCTATAAAGTATTATTTTAAGTTTCATTATTTATTTATTTTTAATTTATGTTTTAAATCATTCTTATCATTTTCTTACATTTATATATCTTTTATATAAGGAGAAGAAAAAAAATGGAGAATGGATAAAAATAAAGAATGAGAAGAAGGCCATTTTAATAAAATTCTATAAAAACTTGATACAGTTGAGAGAAGAAATGGATGAAGGGGAAGCAGGTATAATTTTTTCTCATTTTTATTACATAGACTTCATAGTTATTTTATTGCTAAATTATATATTTGATACAATTTATACACTAACCTTCTTAAATAAGGTGTTTTTTCTTTGGTAGAGAGACTGCGCCCTCTTGTGGCCGTCTTCCATATAGATATTGCCAGTCTCCCCATTCTTAGGTCTTCCTTTTTTCGGTTGCCCTTTCTTGTTTCCTCCATAATTACATGCATTTTTTTAAATTGATGCAGTTTACTGTCCTATTAAAGATGTAAATATTATAATAAGTATTCTACAACACCCCCCCCCCCCTCTTTTCGCCAATCCACACGTTCATATTAACTTTATCACCTGAAAATAATCACCACTCTACATTTTTATACTCTTAATTTCATAATAAATACATTCTAAAACTTTATATGGACCACAGTATAGTTTTATTTTATCATATACTATTGTAATGTAAAACTGTACTTTTAACACTCTCTATGCTTCCATAGAAATTGAACTGGAAGATGCGGATTCGCCCTCCTCCGGCTCAATTATTTAGTTTCAATGTGTCATTTCCGGTGCAGACATTCTTCAAAAGAGCATCGAAGCAGTCGGTGAGTTTTTAGGCCAAAAAAAAAATACCTGTGTTTCCGGTTACCCGACCGACCCTAATTTTACGCGCCGACCCTAGCACTTTTTATTGCAAATCCGGATAACGTACCGTAATTTGTTCTAAAACTACAGTCTTCAAAACGCGCGCAGTTAAAAATGCACTTGTAACAGATAAATAAAAACGTCTTTTCAAGCATTTTAAGATTATACATGCATAGATAATAGCTCTTTTCCCCTTAGATCGTTCCCTCCTTTACCCTTTAATGACGACTTTTGACACTTAGCATCCAACCCTTAATGAGACTTTTGACCGAATCGATGTTGACACGTGTGTATATTTTCATTGTTGATTTGACTTGAAATTACCGCTTGTTTTTAAATTATCAGAGCACAGGTGGCCACCTACAGGTTAACAATAGATGACTGCATCATACTGCAGTTGGAAATCACATGATTTACTTATTTAAAAAACATAAGAATCTCGGAAAGTCCCACCAAAATTCAAAATGGCGGACTGTTACTTACGATGGTTTTTGAGCATATAATTCAGTCAATACGCAATATTTTCTCATCCAGTAAAGCATTACATGAAATTCAAGCTATCAACTTCATTTTCCTTGAAATGTTTGATAATTATAATGATCTACACGTGTAATATACTTCAATATAAGATACGAAAATTTTGTGAAGTTCGGAACCGCGCAGTGCCGATTTCGTTTCCTGTTTCTCAGAAATTCAGAAGATATCTTCCATTTTACGCATAGTTATGAATGTAAAGGTGTAGAAAATACAGTGGACCCTCATTTATCCGGACGCTTTGGTTCCCAGTCAATTTGTCCGGATATGTGAAGCATCCGGATATCTGAAACACCAGTTAAACAAGACAGAATAACATTTTAAAATTTCGTTCCGGCGAAAAATCGTCCGGATACTGAAGCATCCGGATATCTGGCGTCCGGATATCTGAAGGTCCACTGTAATTATTTAAATAGAATTTGATCATTAAAATATTCAAAAACGTTTAGAAATCAAGCTTTATCACACAAGATTGAAAATTTGTTGGCGAGATTGACATTGTAGTATCAGTACAATTATTGATTTCTGAGGAATCAAACTTATAAAATGGATAATAAATTAATAATTAATTATAACATCACACATAAATTTCATAGTTTTTAAAGACAATTTTGGCATATTTGTTTAAAATATCTATTTTGCGATTTACACCTGCTTTCACCTGAATTATTTATTTATAGAAAATTACAATAAAAATTCTGTAAATAGGATGAGAAAAATTCAATTTATTACAAATCCAATGATATATAATACAAAGCATAAAAGAATTGTTTGACCCCTATTAGCATGATTAGTTCAGTTTTAAAATGCACTCCAATTCATTTAAAACGCTCTATGGGGCAGCCACTAGGCAAACACTCCAGGAATATGGCTAGTGTGTCAAATTGCATCACTTATTTTATATGTGCATCACTCAACTCCAAGTCCACCAGATGTTGTCATTAGCTTTAAGCTCAAGAAATGTCCACACTCATACAAAATTACTGCAATAATATATATAACTTTCTTTGGCACTGGACTGTGGGAAATTTATTTGGAGATGGTCATAATTTTGAAGCTAACAACGGTGGTTTTACTCTGACATTATTGGAAAGAAATGGATATTTACTATGTCTTTACATGTAATGATAATGAGGTCGAGGTAGAAGTAGGCCTGAAAAACTATTTTGAATTCTTTATTTTACTTTTTTGTTAAATGTGACAAATTTTCAATATTAAATTGTGATTAAAATTCAAATGTCTTTTTCTGTAAATCAATTTCTTGCAATTGGTTCTGCTACCTACCTCTAGAAAACAAAATACTACTTGTTTATATTTAATATCATATACATTATACCTAAAAAAACAGTCAAATATAATGTTCAGTTAAAATAAAAAGTAAAAGTAAAAAAAAAAGTAATTGCCTACCTACCTACCCTAATTTTCAGGGACATGTTACCGGAAACACACATATTTTTTTTTTGGCCTTAGCATGTTCATTCATTGTTTTTAATACATATGTCTTAAAATTGTACCCTACTCGATGATTATTTCACTCACATCAATATTTTAACGACCTATATTATCTAAACGCGGCTCTTATGTGTGATATCATTTGCTGATTGACGTCTAAAAAAAGAAAATATCTTACCATCTTGCGATTCTCCCGCGATTCTACAGCCGCCAAAAAAACCGCTCGAGATATCCGATGATATGTCGATATAGCTATTTATAATAGGTTTAAATACCTATATAGCTAAAAATAGGTATATAGCTATATATAGTGATTTGCCTGGACCTGTTAAATAACAAGTATAACTGTAAGCCTATGCAGAACTTGGCTACCCTTACATTCTGAGGAAATTCGAACGAACAATAAATTTTGTAAATTAACCCTTATCTCCCAATTTTTAATTAATTAGGTTATGTATCTATAAATAACCAAAAAGACAATGTATACAGATCCCTATAAATTATGTGACATGTTGAGAAGAAAAATTAAACTTACATATCGCCTACAGTTGAGCTGATAAAAAGAATACACAACTTATTTCGGGAAATGCTATAATTATGCAAGAACAGGAAATAGTGTGTTTCAAAACTTGCCGGAATATTATTGGCTGGAAGAAATAAATCCGGGATACTTGAAAATTCAATAAAAATGTATTACACATTTTAACTTCAGATCACATTTAAAAAATAATTTCAGATCAAGACCAGAACAGTTCTAGAGTCAAAGATGATACTGTGTTTATTTTTCATGTATTCAAACGGAAGTTGGTAAATTTTTTACCGCACTAAGACCTGCTTCTTTGATATGGGAAAATCGACGAGGTCCAATATTGTTTCCATGCCATCGAGAAACAACCACCAGTACGTTGTTAACTTCGTTTTCGGCTAGCAGTTTTAAAAGTAACCTTCCCGCACCATGTTCACCGTCATCATTTGATCCTTCATGGATTAACCCATCACTGCTTGTGAAGCTATAAGCATAAACGTTATGGCTCGCGCTGGGTACGGTTTCGATACGCATGATTTCCACTAATGATCGTTTAATCTGTTTATAAGAGTCGACTTGGGTGGAATGCGCCATAAACCGGTTTCAGTTGTCCTCAATTGACTTTCCAGGGTTAACGGTAATCTTGACTGCATCGCTGGAAATCACCTCATCTGCCGCTGGAAGAGATCCTACTTTCTCTCTGTAGATTGAATTACTCTGGGTAAAGATAAGCTTGTCCCCCTTCATTTTCGTCTCGATATTTCGTTCTGCATATTTTCTTTGAACTTCATACAGCTGTTTTCGTCGTTCCCGTATCTCCTCTGGTTGTACTACATAATAGTTTTTATTAATTTTTCAGAGATAATTATCATGCATCAATAAATTTAGGATGCATATTAAAATTTATAAGAGAAGATTATTTAAAGAATTCTTTGTCTTCCATTGACTTTTTTAGTCTGCATGAAGGATATGGAGATAACAAACAGTATTCAGTCTCAAAGTCCATAAAACAATACAAAATAAGAGCAGAGCAAACATGGACCTCCGATACATCAAAGGTTGGATCAGGTGCCATTGAGGTGTGAGAATCCCCTGCTGACCGACCACACCCGCCTTTTGCTCCTTGTCATGATCAGGAAATAACGGAAAAATCCATCGTCAATTCAGTGTATAAATAATGAACTAACAATAAGTATGAAAAACGTTAGTCAGCATTTGACTCAATGATAAATTGAATTTTCTTACAAGGTCATTGTATCGACCATAGAACTTACGAAATGATGACACTCAACGAGACTGCTGATATTCTTGTTTCATCAACTTGATTGTCAATAATCTACCCCGTTTTAGAAATTGTTCATACGTAAAGCATGCTCTTGCGTATCGAATTAACTCAGATATATACAATCCGTATGCAGATGATGAAGGTATATTGCTGCATAAGTAGGGGAAGTTGCCGATAGAAAAATTAAAGTCGTCAAGTTTATCATATAGCTTGGTTGTTATGTTACCATTAACGTTTTTTTTCAAGTAAAATGTCCAAGTATGAAACAGATGTTTCACACTCTGTCGTGTCTTTAATCTCAAGCTCTCCTGGATATATCGTATCGACGTAGGAATGGAAATTACCATTGTTAATTGACAATACGTCGTCGATATATCTGAAAGTCGAGTTGAAGGCATGTAATACCGTTATGTCAACGATGAAGCAGGATTTTGAAGATTATCATTTATTTGATTAAAGTTCTCCAGCCTCTAGAAGATTGTATCATTAGTCATTAGAAATATACAGTATTCATTGAAATATTTGTATGTGAAAGTATTAAAGTACTAAAACGTAATATTTAAGTTACATGTTATGAGCGATGCGGGACATATTAATCACAATTATGCAGTAATATTCCAGTATCACCTAAGATGGTTATGTCTCCAAAAATATAATATACACGAGAGCATGTTTAGTTCTGAGAACGAACAATTTTTAAACCAATACAGGAAACTAAAAATGACTTGATGTTGAAGGACTTTCAAACTTTTCGTGTAAAGTCAACATTCTGCAAATATTTCAAAGATATATGATTTTTTTTCTTCAAAAATATCCTATAAATGGGTCGTATTTCACTGACTGGTTACATTATTGTTAGGTTAATATTTTTTCACTAGTTTTGATTTTGAAATCCTTCGTTTATAAATCAGGTCATTGCAAGATTTACAATATAAGGTTTACGACGACCAGTCGAAAAAGATGGGGAGGCTTACTCCTCCTAGGCACCTTATCAAATCTCTTATGATACCAGAGTATTTTTTTGTGTGTGTATGTGTTTTTTTTTTTTTTTTTTTTTTTTTGGGGGGGGGGGGGGTCCTGAGTTTAAGAGATCCTTTTTAAATCGTCCGTTTTACTTTGTAACATTAGCAGTTTGGATTTATTAAAAAATGTTTACGAAGCATTCACGATATTATCACAAGTAACATATATGACATATCTATAGGCTAAATATATAGGTGCAACACAGTGCGGTAAAAGTCAATTCTTGAGACAGTTATCAAAAATGTTTACCACTACTTAAAATTGGAATAAAATTGAATAATTTTAATTATAATTAATAATTTCTACTAAGCCAACTGCAAAATTGATTTGAATTCCGTTTTCATGTATACTCAAGCGTAGAAATGTACACGGAGAACAATGAGGCTACAGCGACGCCAGTAAAAATGCAACGAGATAGGACAGCAATAAATTCATATATTGAGTAAATGTTTGGGGGCTTTCAAACATTCATATAGTTAATATAAGAAATGTTTTAAAGTTCTGTGTGAGTTTTTGGTGTGTAAATCACACAGACTTGTCACAAAGGTATATTTCTTGAAGCGCAGTAGGCTTCATGAAATACATCACTTTTAAAGAATTTAAGTTGATTAAAGGAGAAGATACCGTTTTGTCTTAATCTTTTATTGTAATGTTCATAACAAGTAATGAAAGTGGCTGTAATATTAGTTGGGTAGATGAATATGATTAATCATTAAAGAATATGACATGAAGGAGGACCATTCTGGAAATATATCACTAGTTTGGTAAATCTCTGAGATTCATGCAGAAAAGCCTTATAACGACTCATTTCTCACATATTTGCTCTCATCAGAAAATACCGCAAGGTTCAGATATTCAACCGTACTTTTGTCACTTTTTATCATAAACTTTAATATGCTAACAAAGGAATCGACGAACTTAATATGGAATATCCTTGTCACAACAGATCCAGATTTGTGTGCCAACATATTTCAAGTTGAAGTCCATTCACACCTTGTATTTCTTACACATATGCATCGACCTCTGCTTTCTATATCTTTAACTACAAAGAAACCTCTTTAGTACATAGATATTGGACATCTGAAACATAATTGTCCAAAATGTTCATGTTCTTCTTTACCCAACAACCATAGTCCTGCGAACATATCATTTCTCGTGAGGTAATTATAGTTAACAAGAGGCCCATGGGCCACATCGCTCACCTGAGAAGCTTTGACCATTCTGTTCTTTACCAAATTTCCCCTTTGTAATACATTATGTATCCCCACCCTACCCCACTGATCATAATTAAGACATTTTGAAATCAACTACCCCAGGATCCTTCCATGTGCAAATAAGTTTCAGCTTTTCTGGCCCAGTGGTTCTTGAGAAGAAGATTTTCAAAGATTTTTCCTATATATTTTTATGTAAAACTTTGATCCCCCATTGTGGCTCCACCCTTCCCCTAGGGGTCATGATTTGAACAATTCAAAATCTACATTACCCAAGAATGCTTCCACATAAGTTTCAACTTTTCTGGCACGGTGGTTCTTGAGAAGAAGATTTTCAAAGATTTTCCCAATATATTTCTATGTAAAACTTTGATTACCAATTGTGGTCCACCCTTCCCCCGGGGGTCATGATTTAATTTAGAATCTACACTGTACAAGGATGCTCCCACATAAGTTTCAGCTTTTCTGGCCCACTGGTTCTTGAGAAGAAGATTTTCAAAGATTTTTCCTATATATTTCTATGTAAAACTTTGATTACCAATTGTGGCCCACCCTTCCCCCGGGGGTCATGATTTAATTTAGAATCTACACTGTACAAGGATGCTCCCACATAAGTTTCAGCTTTTCTGGCCCAGTGGTTCTTGAGAAGAAGATTTTCAAAGATTTTTCCTATATATTTCTATGTTAAACTTTGATTCCCCATTGTGGCCCCGCTCTTTCCCCGGGGGTCATGATTTGAACAATTTAGAATCTACACTACCCAAGAGTGCTTCCACATAAGTTTCAACTTTTCTGGCCCAGTGGTTGTTGAGAAGAAGATTTTCCAAGATTTTTCCTATATATTTCTATGTAAAACTTTGATTCCACATTGTGGCCCCGCCCTTCCCCCGGGGGTCATGATTTGAACAATTTAATATCTACACTACCCTAGGATGC